ATGGGGTTATTGTGACCGAAGTGCAGGACGCTGCATTTGGCCTTAATGAAGCTCATACAGTTGGCCTCAGCCCATTGATTCAGCCTGTCCAGGTCCCTCTGCAGAGCGTTCCTACCCTCAGGCAGATCAACACTCCCTCCCAACTTAGTGTCATCTGCAAACTTGCTGAGGGAGCACTCAATCCCCTCATCCAGTGATGTCTCATAGCAGCCTATAAACTGCCCCAGTAGGTCTCCTTTAATAGGCAGCAAACACTAGGCAGTTACATTTCCAGATAACTCTCTTGTTTGGCCCAGGTCTTTGTGGAAAAGTGCTTTTTTATCAAGGTGAAAGTCTCTTTGCATGATAACCAACTCTAGATCCAGGAGGATAAATAATTGATACCCATTTCTATTCTGGATCCTTTAAGATTCTCTTTCCACTAGGAAGATTTTCACCAGGGAGGACAATTCTGCTCAACAGCTGAGACACTTCTGTGTTTAGGAAAAAAAAACCCTGAACACCTGGAATCAGGAGGTACATGTCTCCATCAGTTATACTAGGAACCCACCTAACTAGTTTCAGCGAGGTAGGTAATTTTTAGATGGATAAAGTTAAGTAAGTACAACTCCACTCATGAAGATAAGTGTCACAGAGCTGAGGACAAATATTTGCCACGAAAAGCTAACACGCAACCACAAACTGCAATTTGCAATTGTCAAATTACAAAGTCTACAAATGCTACTGATTTAACGACCGTCACAAATTGCTAACACAAGCAGGGACTGCCGGGTGAGCGCCTGGCAGCGCTGCTGGTGGAACGATGCTCGGAGGATGCCCGAAGGGTGCCCGAATGATGCCCAAAGGATGCTTGAAGAGTGCACGAAGGATGCTTAGGGCCCTCCCGAGCCGTGCCCGGCAGCAGGAGCCGAAGCTCAGCACAGGTCGGGCGGGCTTGGAGGAACCGAAGAGTGCTGGTGCCACCTAGAGGGAACTATTCGCCTAAAAAGTGGGAAAAATCATTCCCGCACATGGGAGACATAATGTGCCACAGATGTACAGCACTGGGGAAAAAAAAAATCCCTAAAGAGAAGGGCTCTTACTGCTGTGCAAAGAATATACACAACTATGAGAAGCAGCAGCGTACAACTTGCATCTTCTCCTCAATATAATTTGCAAATATAAAGAAGGTGTATTTAGGATGACCAATTGCCAATTCCTCTCTTCTTCAAACCACTTCCCAGCATCACAGCTGTATTCCTTCCCTTCTTCCTCGGAGGAAACAGCCGACAAACTGACTACATCTGGAAGTCAGATCCTTGTCCTGCACCCCCGCAGGGCGGTGGCGCCAGCCGCAGCTGGAGCTATCTGGCAGCGGAGGGTGCCTTGGGCATCCAGGAAGCACTGATTGCATAGAGAAGAAAGCCTTGGGGATGCAACTTCACAGCCCTCTGCTGATCACCAGCTTTGGTGAATGACCCACCTAGCAATAGGATGAGGGGCAATGGTTTTAAACTAGAGCAGGGTAGATTTAGATTAGACATTAGGAAGAAATTCTTTACTATGAGGGTGGTGAAACACTGGAACAGGTTGCCCAGAAAGGTGGTGGAGGCCTCATCCTTGGAAACATTCAAGGTCAGGCTTGATGGGGCTCTGAGCAACCTGATCTAGCTTAAAAGATGTCCCTGCTCACTGCAGGGGGTTGAACTAGATGACCTTTAAAGGTCCCTTCCAACTCAATGCATTCTATGATTCTGTATTAAACATTTGCTAGTTCACTGACCTCCATGAAAGCTGTAACTCCAAGGCTTTGGGTTAGTTAAATTTAGGAGATAACTGAAGTGGCAAAAAGCTGGGTGCCTGTCACACCGAAGGGGAACACAGCACAATGAACTGTGTCTGTGTGTGTGTGTGACTGTCCTGCCGGGGTCCTACTGTCATTCATCAGCTCCATTCCCCAGCAGCACGCCTGTGGCCCCTTTGGCCACCACTGTCTCACAGGCACCATAGTGGTCACATTCCTTATCCTTTGCTTTACAAACACCCTCAAAGCCCAAACTGCACAGGAAAACGGAACTTGGGTGCAGTTGAAGCGAAGGACCTGCTCAGTATTCTGCAGAGCCATGCTATACACCCAGACAGGAGTTTTCAAACCATGATTTCATGAAAATGGCATCCACACATGCCACCAAAATTGCAAAGTTTGCTGTTCAGACAAGGGAAGGAACCTCTTTATGTGCCAGACTGTTGCTCCCCATTGCATAATCCGTCTTGTGAAAGCCATAATAGGACCAGACTGCAGAGACAAGGCTGCAGTGGATCTCCTTCATGTTTCAGAGAGGAGCCGAAGGTGACAAGAAAGAGGTACACCTGCTGTGCTTCAGAGAGACATGCTGCAAGTGGGCAGCCTCCAGCTGTAGGGAATGTGCAGCACAAAAGGACATGGTGCCTCAAGTCAGGACCTGCAGAAGCACATTGCTGCCGTGACCCGCAGGCGCTTGCAGGGGGTTCCCATGCTGTCGCTGCTTGCAAATGGCCTCCTCTGCCCAAACCAGCCACCACAGCAGCACTTTCGAAACACAGCCATGTGGGACGCAGAAATACACACCTGCCCATATGCTCCCTGGGACAAGTGCAGCCACGACAGAGTGGCTGCTACCTGAGCTCCCTGGGGTGTGAGGCTGGGGAGCAGCAATGGCAACACCCCTTCCTCCTCCCTAGCGCTGCCTAGGCTCGCTCTCCTTCCCCCTGCACTCACCAGCTGTGGGATTACCTGCACATCACCTGCTCCTCCCTACCACTCTCCCAAAAATGTCCACCCACCTGCCTGGTACCTTCCATCTCCTGCTAATTACCCAAAACAGCCATGAAATCCCCAAACCAGATTTAGGATTCAGTTATACTGAATTGACAGGAGAATTAGGCTGAGCTCCAAACCTTGACATAAATTATATTGACTTCAAAATATTTACTATAGCCTTTTATGTAGATATAACTGGAGAGCTACCAACACATGTTTTAGCAGAAAATAGGAACTCAAATGATTTTTTCCCAAAGCAATGTTATTGATGTCATGAGTGCTTCAGCTAAGTATGTCCTGCTTTGCAGGATTCACTGATAGGATGGATTAACACAGTCATACATGTCAAAATAATTTAGAGAGGGTTTATACATCTGTTTAAGAAAGTACAATGTAGAACTGAAAAAAATTGTTTCAATTAAGTCTGATCTACACCAAAAAAAAGGCACTATATGGGTTTGGTAGGGATGCAATTAAAGTGTTTATGACATAATTCAATCCCATATGGGAAAAAGTAATCAACACATTTCAGGATACCTTGAGAGGTTCCACTATAAAGGCAGCTACACCAGTGCTGTGGAAGCACATTGGAAGTTTCCCCTGAAGTCAAAAACCTGTGTGTACTTCAGGCCTGAACCTCAGTGAGCTGTAAGGTGGTAGCCATTGCTTTATTCTTTTAATCTACTGATTTCATGATGGTTTGAAGTAGCACTAAAGGCTAATAAAATTAGGTTGTTCTGTATTTAAAGACTAGGAAATACAGTCCAACTATTTTTTCCTGAGAATCCTGACTTAAAATCTTATTTACTCTAGAGCATTAATAAGTACTAGCATAAGTATGCCTGCCCCAAACATCATTACTTTTCTCATGTGCATTACAGAAAGTTTGAAATACCTTTCGCTATCTCCTTGGAGGCAGGGAGTCAGATAATTGACTCGGTGATATTTTGGCAGATAAACCAACACGTGAATACCTGCCAAGAGCACTCAGGTCTCTCTCTTATGAGGGGAAAGCTTGACTCACATCTCTGCATGCAGGGGAACACAGGCAGGACATTTTCACTGGGAGACAGAAGAAACCGTCTCCCTTTGGTGCCAAGCTGATTTAGGTCCTCGATCTCTCAGGGCAAAAAAAAGGCAAATAAAGGCTTTCCTTTTGTGCAATGACAAACCCCATAGTATTATTAGGATGAAGTCCTGAATATGGGGCCCCACATGCATGTCAAATGAAAGAGGTGGCTAAGGGCAAGCACGCAATGGGGATGAGTCCCCGAGAACTGGGTGAGAGGCCAGGCCGCAGGGAAGCCGTGGCTCCGTTTCCACAGGAGTCTGTCTCTCCCCACCGTTGTTAAACCTGCGGCAGCTTCTGTGCCGCTTCTGCAGCTACGGGAAAAGAAATTATGGAGACAGAGCAAATGCCGACAGATGCACAAGGTAATGTTATAAACACAGGTTCCCCCTCCCCCACCCTGTTTTGGGCACAGCGACCAAGAGTCCTACATCCCCTGGGGGCTTTCGTCTTCCCGGATCTAACCCGACCCTTGGTTGGGCGGGCCCCGCTTTTCTCGAGGACGGGAAGAGGAAGGGAAATCGCCGTCGCTACCGCCCCCAGGCCCCGCTTGCCCTCTGCCGCGGTGGGCGGAGCGGAACGGGGCGGGCCGGGGCCGGTGGTGAGGCTATGCCGGCGGTGCTGGGCGCCGCCTGGGCCTTGTTGGCTGCCGTCTTTCTGGCTGCCCTGCTGCTGCTGCGGGCGCCGGGGCGGGGGGCCGATGGTCTCTCCAGCCTCTTCCAGGATCTTATCCGCTACGGGAAAACGAAGCGCGGCTGGGGCCAGCGGCCGGCCTGGCTGCGCCTCCTCCAGGTGCCCAAGAGGTGAGGGGGGTTCGGAGGGCAGCGCTCCGCCGTGCGAAGAGGTGCTCCGCCGCCATTTCTGTCATTTGAACGCGGCCTTCCTCAGGCCACGGTAGCGTAGGAGTAACTGCATCTGCGTTTCAGTTAGTTCAGCTGAAGATAAAATAGGAAATAAATAGCATTGCGTATTTTCTGTGGAGTCGGGTTCAGTTGTTTGTGGAAGTTTTATTGGGGTTTTACAGATGGGTAACGGAGGAGCATAGAGACTGCGATCATACAGAGTCCATATGTCCCAAATGAGAATAAAATCCCATGAATCCTATAGTCCCATGCGGTATCTGCAGAACAAACCTACCTGCAAGGCTTAGGTCAGGGCCGTGGCGCTACAGACTCCTGAGTGTAACTGTGACTATGCAAATATACTGCAGGTTTACTGTCTTAAACCAATTCTCAGTTGTTGTCTTCTTCCTTCAAGGTTTCTTTTTAAAATATAAGATAGGTTAGTAACAACAGCATATTAACATAACTGGACCCTGCATGAACAGTCTCTAATAAGGCAGAAGAACAGCTGCGTTACCCAAATGTAATCTCTTAATAGCTGCTTAATAGGCTAAAAGAGAGGAAAAAAGCCATCAACTGTACAGCTTTCTATACATTACTGGGATCTCACAGTCTGTGGTAAGATGAGATTCATGACTAGAACCAGCTTTTGACTTAAATGTGACAGGATCTTGCAAGGCCAGCAGGACAGGCCTGGGAGGCTACTGAACCCAAAGATCTGATCACCCCTGATATAATGTTCTTGTTATCACTGACACGTTTTGCATACGTAGCTTTGAAACCAAATGTTACAAAAAGTCTTCTGACACAGCATGTTAATCACACATGGGTTGTAATGTAGTATCTTGGTTATCAGACTTCTGGTTATAGAAAATACCCAGGGATGTGCTGAAACTCTGCGGTACCCTCAGCAAAAATAAGTGCTCATAAAGACTTTGTCTTTGATTGCAGCACACTGCCAAGTGCCACATTCTTGAGGTAGGTTCTCTTTTGAGTTGACCTTTCTCCAACAGAAGTTTCCCACTACTTAGATAGTGTCTGAAGAACATGGCTTTTTCAGGGGACTGGTCTCAAGCTCTCAGCATCTACAAAGTGATTCTGTTATTCGAGTAGTGAACCTGTAACCCTGTTATCTGAAAGAACAGAGAAGATCTTGAAGGTAGCTGTTGAAACATTTTCTGTGTCCATTCATCTGCATCCTGTTTCCAAACAAGCGTTGTATTTTCACTAGCCTGGGCCTGTTTTTAACTTTGCCGTTCCATCTTGTCAAATGTTATGATTCATTTTGGGTTGGTTTGGCAAATACTGAACATTCTTGTCCTTGAGGGATGACACATGTACTTAACTGCAGTGCTGGATTGCTTTGTAGGTCAGACACATCCCCAGCATAACTGGGATTGCTGAAAGCTCTCAGGGCATGTATTTGCTAAGCTGGCAGGACTTGTTTGTGTGCTGGTAGTGAAAAGAATCTCTTATGGAGAAAGTTCTGTGGCAAGTGGTGAGATGGAAGTCCACTGACTAA